GTGAAGGGCTTTTATTTTATTTTATTATATATTCGAAAAAGGAATAAAGAAAAATGAAGAGTGGGTTCTCATTAGAATTATATCTTCATAAGTACTTATTCCCGCATCATTATCACAAAATTCTCTCCATGATTTGACAATTTTTAAGAAACAATAAATAGTGAGATAATTTTATTATATCATTTCTATTAATTATTTTTCTGTTTATTTTTATTTGTCACATATTGACTTGGTATATCCATTAAGAAAAAAATTATTGAAAATATGTATTTTACAAAACTATCCCCTATTAATGATGTTTTGAAAAATAAGTATTTAATGTTAAGGGTAAAATATAGGGAAAAAAATTATTGTCTTTTCTTGATATCTAAAGGGACAAGTAAAAGTAAAAATCTATTTTAGTAATTAACAAGTAAAAGTGAAAGGAGTATAAGTGACCTAAATATTGAAAAATGAATAGTATTTAATAGCAAGAGTAAAATAAAAAAATTTAGTAAATTATCTCTTGACTTTTGAGATTGGCCAATAAATAAAGTTAATAACTATATTTTTAATATTATGGACCAGTAAAGATGGATGGATGGACCAATAAAAAGAAAAATTTAGTGATTAAGAACTGTCCAATAAAGAGGGAAGTAGATGAACCACCATATGCCCACCCACCTTATTATTATTGCTGCATCATTTATTTCTCGTCTTTCTCTTAATTAATAAAATTAATCTCATTCCTTTGGTAAAGATCATGTATCACCTTCATTATTATAAAGAAATAAATGATAGATTTCTACAAATGTTAACCAAACTACTGAATTAATTTCAATTTCCCAAAGTTAACTATACTTATTTCTTAAAATTAAAATTTGATCTTGATGGCTCTTTGCTTTTAGAAAGTGTTGAACAAAAAAACACATCAAGACATTTGGTGGCCCGTGACATTTTGTTAGCTAGGGGTGTACAAAATCGAACCGAAAATCGAATCAAATCGCAAATCGAGTTAACTCGAAAAAAAAACTCGACTAGTGGTTTGGTTTTGAAAAAAAAAACCCGACTATATTTGGGTTGGTTTGGTTTTAACTAAAAAAAATCAATCCGAGACCAAACCAACTCGACATTATATATATAATTTTAAAATTTTATTTTATACATAAAAATATTTACTTTGATGTAATTTTTAAATATTTCTTATACATTTCATAGTTTTTATCTTTTAATATATTATTTCAAGTTTGAAACTTAGAATTATGAATGAGCCAATAAAAATTATAGTCCACAACTTAGAATTATGAATGAGCCAATAAAAATTATAGTCAACAAATGTTGGTAATTATAATAAAGCTTAAATAAAAATCAAATTAATACTAATGCAAAAAGAAAATCAATTCAACACTAAGAATGACAATAATATTGAATATTTGTTCTTTAGTTTTACATTGGTTTAGACAATTAAAATACATAATCTAATTTTAATTTCCTTTAATATTTAGTCATGTAACTAATACTTATTAAACTTAATTTTAGCATGATTTAGTACTTTTAAACTATGATCATTTTCATTATGACTTGTTAATTTGCAATATTTGTTTTACGCGATTTCATTATTATTTTTTTTGTTGGATATTTTAGTGTCATTAAACATATCATATTGTGTTATATTTTTAAGAAACATCTTAGATGGTTGTATTTTGGTAGGACTAAAGAAATATTTGAAGTACAAGTAAATTATATGTTTGTATGAATACTTTACCGGAAAAACCCGAAAAACCGAAAAAATCCGAGGTTGAAAAACCCAAGTTTTATTGATTTGGTTTGGTTTATGAATTTAAAAATCCGACACTAATGGTTTGGTTTGATATTTAAAAAATCTGAACCAACCCGGCCATGTACACCCCTATAGTTAGCCCTTTAATGAACCGAAAAAACAGTTTGTTTAACTCAAACACACCATTAAATTATAATCATATGGTCTTCCTTAATGATTGCAGAAAACTGCAATTATACATACAGCATTGATAAAGATGACATTTCTGGCAAATATATGTACTTAATAAATATCATTGTGATCAATGAAATATATAGGAGCAGATACAAGAGCACATCACCAAAAAAAAAAAAAGATTTCACACGACTGAAAAAACAATTTTTTTCTTTCCTGGTTAGAAGGGTGTATATACTTCATATAATTTTTTATATACATTGTATAATTTTTAAACGAAGGGTGTCCAATTATAACCTTTAGTTACCATCATTTGTGCTGATTAAAAAGAAAAATCAAGAACTAAATTAAGATACCCAAAAAATAGGGAGGAGGCAACAAAGAACAACCTAAGAAATTAAAAAAAAAAAACTGATGAAAAAAAGAAAGAAAAAAAAGAAGATGAGTGTTATGGCTGTATAATGGGATAACCTATGAATGGAGTTTTGGGCCGGGAACTAAACGGTAAGTCCATCCAATCCTAGAGGTGTACATGACCGGGTTGGTTTGAGTTTTTCAAATATCAAATCAAACTATTTGTGTAAAAAAAATTAATTCATTAACCAAACCAAACTAATAAAATTTGGATTTTTTCGGGTTTTTCAACCTCGGGTTGGTTCGGGTTTTTCAAATACCAAACCAAATCATTGTGTCAGATTTTTTAAATTTATAAATCAAACCAAACTAATAAACCTCGGATTTTTTTCAGATTTTTGGATTTTTTCGGTAAAGTTTGCATACAAACATATAATTAACTTGTGTTCCAAATATTTCTTTAGTCCAACCAAAATACAATTATCTAAGGTGTTTCTTAAGAAAATAACATAAAATATGAGATGAGTACTGATGACTAAAGTATTCAATAAAAAATAATAATGAAATCATCATATAAAATAATATATTGCAAAGTCATAATGAAAATGATCATAATTTAAAAGTACTAAATCATGCTAAAATAATTTTAATAAGTATTAGTTACATTACTAAATATTTAAGGAAAATTAAAATTAGATTATGTAATTTAATTGTCTAAATCAATGTAAAACTAAAGAACAAATTTTCAATATCATTGTCATTCTTAGTGTTGAATTGATTTCCTTTTTGCATTAGTATTAATTTAATTTTGATTTAAGTTTTATTATAATTATCAACATCTATGAACTATAATCTTTATTGGATCATTCCGAATTCTATGTTTTAAACTTGAAATAATATATTAAAAGATAAAAACTATGAAATATTACAAGAAATATTTTAAAATTATATCAAAGTAAATATTTTTATGTATAATTTTTTTTTTCTAAATTACATATAAAATGTTGGGTTGGTTTGGTCTCCGGTTGTTTTTTTTTAGTTAAAACCAAACCATCCCAAATATAGTCGGCCTTTTTTTAAAATATCAAATCAAGTCAAACCAAACCACTAGTCCAGTTATTTTTTCGGTTTGACTCGTTTGCGGCTTGATTCGATTTTCGGTTCGATTTTGTACACCTCTACCCATGACCTGGTCTTAGTGGGCTGGGCCTTAGTGAGACGATGATAGTGTTATACAAGACTAAAGTAAGACAATTCTAAAGAAATTCAAAACTAACAAGTCTTTATACTTATTAAACAATTTATTTTCGAAACCTTACCTTCATTTTTCTGTATACTCAGAATCAGAATATACAAGTAAAATTTGGCGTATATACCATAATATTTGTGTAATAGTAGGATAATATATACCAGAAAAATTCTACTCAAATTTTTCTAAAAAAATATTCTCTCTGTTCCTTTTTATATGTCATCCTTATTATAAGTAATTGGTTCATAATACTTGTCATTTCATAAATTCAATGCATAAACTTCATATTTTACACTTGTGAGTTTTTAGTCTTGAAAACATACATTTGACCAACATTGAAAAACAAATTGAATAATTCTATTCATTGGTCAAATTAATTCATATTCATTTATTGCAAAGTTGACTTCAAAATAAATTAAATAAGGGTAGAATAGTAAACTTACTCAATAATTTCTTAATGCACCAAAAAAAGAAATGGTGACATATAAATAGAAACAAGGGAGAGTAATAAGTTCATCAATCTGATCAATAGGATTTAACATTATGTGAATTAAATACCATTTGAAGTTCCAATGATATCAAAGTGTTTCATTCATTGCAAAGAGCTATTACTCCCTTCGCCCTTAATTACTTGTCTATTTTTGAATTGACACACTTATTAAGAAAATAATGATTGACATTGTGAGTTTACCATTTTAGCCTATTAATTATGAAGTTGATGAATTAAAATTTACGATTTTCAAGAAGTTCTACATTTTTCAAAGCAATTAATTGAGGGTATAATAGGTAAAATTTTTTTATCCTTTCTTGATTTGTCAAAATAGACAAGTAATTAGAAACAGAGGGACTACTATTTATTTGTGAAAGCCCAATTCTTGATAAGCAACGACAGAAGAAAATCGGACCAACTGCTTGAGAAGAGGTCCATTAATATTATCTATCGATGCACGTTTTGTTTCTACGACTATATACTTTCTTCATTTCATATTAATTGAATTGTTGAGGCATTTTTCATTTTTCAAATTAATTTAATTGTTCAATTTTCAAGACTATTTTTAAAATATTCTTCCAATTTTACCCTTCATTTGGATTTTTAATGTGATGAGTTCAGTAAAATTTAATTAATGTTTAGTTATTTTAATTATAAATTTGACAATAATTAATAAGGGTAAAAATGAAAAACTATGTTCAATTTATGTCTTAATCTACTTTTCTTAAAGGGTACCAAAAATTCAATTAATATAAAATGGAAGGAATATAAAGTTATTTTATTATTATTTTTATACGGAGGGAATTAAACATTTATACAACCAACCATAGCATAAACAAGTGACTCTTTACAATACAAGAAATTAATGTATCTATCAAATCATCAGAGAGATAATTGTGATAGATATACATATTGCGATAACGTACGTGTATATATGTTGTACACATTTATTAGTAGCACAATATATAATCAACTCAATATTGAGAAGGAGAAACTGGATCATTGCCGGCAGGAGAAACTGCGTCAGTCACTGGATCATTGCCGGATGGAGAAGCTGCATCAGTCACTGGATCATTGCCGGCAGGAGAAGCTGCATCAGTCACTGGATCATTGCTGGCAGGAGGATCTGCATCAGTCACAGGATCATTGCCGGTAGGAGCAGCTGCATCAGTCACTGGATCATTGCCGGTAGGAGCAGCTGCATCAGTCACTGGATCATTGCCGGCAGAAGAAACTGCGTCAGTCACTGGATCATTGCCGGATGGAGAAGCTGCATCAGTCACTGGATCATTGCCGGCAGGAGAAGCTGCATCAGTCACTGGATCATTGCTGGCAGGAGGATCTGCATCAGTCACTGGATCATTGCCGGTAGGAGCAGCTGCATCAGTCACTGGATCATTGCCGGTAGGAGCAGCTGCATCAGTCACTGGATCATTGCCGGCAGGAGAAGCTGCATCAGTCACTGGATCATTGCCGGCAGGAGAAGCTGCATCAGTCACTGGATCATTGCTGGCAGGAGAAGCTGCATCAGTCACTGGATCATTGCTGGCAGGAGGATCTGCACCAGTCACTGGATCACTGCCGAGTGGATTTGCATCAGTAGTGCCACTAGAAACAACCGGAGCAGCTGCACCTGAACTTAGGGACGCGGACTGAGACATTCCACGGCGTGGACGAGTTTTCTGAGATGCGCACATTTTTCGCAAAGATAATCCTGCACATATGTATCAAATAAAACAAAGAGGCCTAGCTAGCTAGTGTAGCTTTTATCAAATGCCCTGGGAATACTCTAATTATTGTGAAGTTTTTAATTTGTATCAACTACCTTGTGAAGATTTGAAATGATCACTTTGAAATTTGGTTTCAAATGAAGTAGTAATTTTCCCTCTCAAAATTTCAATTTATTCTTTCAAACAGAAGTTCAATAAAATATTATCCAAACACCTCACCTTCAGCAGAAGCGACAGTGGAGTAAAGATCGATAATGTTGGGGCAATTGTTGTAACAGTGATGTGAACATAGCTTGGCAATGAATTTAGAATCAACAAGGGCATCTGAAGAGAGGCCAAGAGATTGCCTATCAACACCACATGCACCAACGCATTCATCTGTCTCTATATATTCCTGCAACATTTTATTACTTGCAAATGCTTCTGAAGTCTGGCACTCCACTTCAATATTTCCTTCTTCAGTCGGGCGACTCTCCAGCACACACCTCTTTCCGTCCGATGCAATTGAAAGCGCACACATTTCAACTGGTAGTTCCTCGCATATCAACTCACCTAAAAGATAACTCAAAACAAAATATTATAATAACAAAACTATACTAGGTATTACTCCATTTTGTCTGATTTTGACTTGACATAGAGTTAACAAAATAACTTTTGAATTTTGTGGTCTTAAACTAAAAATACATAGAATGTACCCTAATATCTTTTAAACATGTCACGTAGAAATTTAGAATTAAAGAGTTAGCAAAACAAATAAATTGAAACCGAGCTAAGGAGTATCAAGGATGAAGAAGAAATTAAAGATATTACCAAGAGCTCCTTGGAGGAAGAAGGATAAAGCAAAGAAGAGTATGAACTTCATATTGATTGATTCTAAAAAAAGATATGAGGGAAGAGACAGTGATTGTGTTTGCATTGAAGGGAATATATAATTTTGGAAAGTGAGAGTTTATATAGAGCTTCCTAGGGTCAAAATAAACAATTCTTTTATCCTAGGAAGTCAAAATAAACAAATTTTTTTTTATGGCAGAGGTCAAAATAAATTGGAAGGGAGAACTTGTAGTCAACTGGTTTTCCATCTAATCAGGACAGATTCACCTTACAAAACTAACCATGTCCAAAAGAAAAGATCATGTAATAAGTTGATCAATATTTTTTACTATTATAAGGTTGCATGAATAATGTGAAGTTGCTGGCAGATTGTCATTGTCTATGGAAAGTACAAAGATGAGCAAGACTTCAAGATAAGCAAACCGTAACACCGTTCTTTGCTCGCTGTTTGTCTTTTGTACTAGGTGGAGTTGTAACACGAGAGAAAGCTTACGTTTATACATAAAAAGAAAGGAAAGTACCAAGTTTGTTTCTTCTAATTTTAGTAAGTTTATTTTTTCTTCTTTAGTTGTTTGTATGTATTAAATAGTAATATTAATGACCTCCTTTCGTCATTTCAAGTAGTGCCAATATTTGGTTGATGAGCGTTGCGCAGTCGAATTTTGGGATTTTATGTGTGTTGGGACTCTGGCTATTCATTTCACATGTATTATGTTTAGGATTAGGAAGAAAAGATAACCTTCAGCAAAACTTAATTTTGGCATAATACCTACAAAATCATCTGATGAAAGAAGTATGAATAACAAGTTTTAATTACAACGATTGATGCAGCTCTTACGCAACACATTCATCCAAAATGCGTGAAAATTCACTAAACTTTAAATTAATACTCCATAATTATAATATTAGAAGTACAGTAAGCCCAGTACTAAAAACCTTAAAAGAACGATCCATCAAGATTAAATCTTGAATCCTCTTTTAAATAACAAGGAGTCTTTGATAGAATGCGGTATATAGATAGATTTACCATGATTTAGAACAAACAATCCACCCTGTAGATTTTGGCTTAGGTGGTTAACTATATCCATGTCAATAAATATATTTTCAGTATCTTCATTTTAATTAAATCCCTTTTCAAATAATATGAATAGTCAGGCAAAGACTCGCAATGGTACCTTCAATTCATTTTATTTCTTGTTCTGCAGTAAGTAGTGTGTGCACATCTAAAATCTCCAGAATCCTGAGTCTTTTTCAAAGATGGACTTCATACAATAAGAACAAATGAAGGCTGAAGCTAATATAAATTAAATCACAGGAGATGCCCTACTCACTAAGCAAGGTCATAAGAGTTCCTACTCTCTGCCTCAACCAATAAGGCAGACAGATTTAACGGCACAAATTTAATTTCAATCACCTAATCACATTAGGTAAAACAAGGGGGTAAATTTGTACTAGTCAAATATAAGCATATATCAAAAATCGAGACATGGTGTCTGAAATTAGACACAGTTCAGTTTGTAAGTTAGTTATCCTCAGAAAACAAGGGTGGTTTCGTCCCATAAAAGTCACCAATGATCAGCCAAAATTTACCATTACATTGTATGGTATTGTAAAACCATATATGAAAGCTTAATGCTATGGTGCTTTCACAAACTTCCCACACTGGTAGCAGCAGAAATGTAGAAGCATGGTATTGAACTACAACTGGAAGCTGAATTCAACCAAACCCATCGCACCAATAAATGCAAAATGATCCAAGTTCTGTATACAATGAGAACATTGATACTTGATGATATATTGCTTCAACATTTGCTTGGACATGTGGGAAGCTTACACCAACTTTTAGGCTTCAATAATCAATCATAACTTGCATTCAGGAATTTGAGTAATTCATTGCGTTTACTCTCTGCTTCCTTATCCTCCTTTGTCTTGTCTAGCTTCAAGAGAATCTACAAAATAAGAACATTTAACCACTTACATTCCACAATAAGAAACGAAAGTAACACAGCTTTAATGCCACCCATGTTTCAAGGGTGATTAATACACAAGCTACAGGTAACAAACACTAGTAGAAATGTTTCCCCAGAAAGATGAACATACCTTTTTTCCAGAGACAGCACTCCGACGGACCCCATCATCTTTGTCACGACCTAAAAACTGGATTTGGTAGATTACACATGTGAAAAAAAGAAGGGAGAAAAATCCTAAAAGAGAACTACAATTTAAGTATGAAACCGTAAAACCTTAGAGAGCTGCACAGGGCCACTACTTTCCACCTGCTGCTTCTGCATATGGCTCGCATTGCCACCATAATCCACAAGCAAGTAACAAAACCATGCAAGTTATCGAGCATCCAGTCATCATGTCCACAGCTCCAAATTTGAAGAGCCATAAAAAACAAACAGGCAGAAAAATACTATAAGCATCTCATACTGTAACAAAATGCATTTACGCCCAATAACTGAAATCTAAGTTCATATGGACTGTGAAACTGTACACTAACATTTATATGCTCAGTGTAATTATGTAAGACGCGAGAACATAAAATGCAGAACAAGTCTGGCAGAATAGATGAACACTGCTTGATCATGAGAACAACAATCTACCTCTTTAATTTTATTCTTATGACGTTTTTGCCGGTGACTTTTCCCTTTCTCTTTATCCTTCTTCTAAAAAGACAACAAGCTGAAAATATGTCAATTTTCAAGCAAAACATGTAATTGAATGAATAATAATTAGATCTTCTGAAGCAACCTCCTTTGTGCCTCTATCTTTATGTATGTGTCTTTTTGAACTGCTGACTGCTTCACGCTCACTGTCTGAAGAACTGTCGACAAAAGAGATGTAACAAGATGGTTACAAGGAAAAAGGAAGCATCCATCTAATTGATAAAGACTTGACATGCAGTTACAAAGATAGCAAGAGGAGCCCTCCACAATATAACACAATCACACATTTGAAAATTGACATGTTAGTGTAAATACTAATTTGGGATAAAATTCATGGGTTAAACAGTTTCCTAAAATAGCACTTTTACTATAGGTTTTATGCTTTCTATGAGTAGTTTAACCTTTAAGGGTCACTTAGTTCAAAACAAAGTTGTCCCAATATAATTCTGGGATTTTGGTATAGAGTTTTTCCTGGTTTTAGCTTAATACCCACAGCCAAGCACGGAACAAATTTCATATAAAGTTTTATAAGATAAAACCCCTATATCCCTATATCCAAACAACCTGTAAGAGAATAATACATTTCTAATAAAATATATTTGTATTAGCATAATATTGTCATGAAGCATGAGATGAGTATAAATGGAGTAAAATGGTCAGTGACAATTCATATAGACGAAGACACAGTTAGTTTGAGACAAGCGGAGTTGTTATTGGTGCTTGATTTAAGCTAACATCACTGCAAGTTGCAGTTCAGAAACTTTCTTTCCCTTGGTTGAGAAATAAATGACATTCTTTTCCAAATCGCAAGCCAACTTGCTACAAGTAATCACCAAGCAACTTTCCTAACTTAAATAGAAAAAAAACAAGGTATCTGACCTTACATTACCTAAAAGAACACTTTGACAGATTAGAACTTATTACTTGTCTGGCTCTTAATCCCCAGCTTTCGGAAATTAACAGTAAATTGAGAGGTATAGATAAGGCGCTAGGGAACACCTAACTATCTATTTATATTGACAAGGTGACAAATATCTTCGTGAAGAATACAGCAGTTCCCAATACTTATAACCGATTTCAAGATAAGCAAACAATTTGAAGCAACCGTTTGAATAACTCATATCTAACTAGCATTGATCCTTCGAATCAATTTACACGGCTAATTAACCCTAAGTTCATAAAGCAAGATCGTCAAATCCCTAAAATCATTCTCCATAAAACAAATTATGTATAAGTAAACCTGTAATCTTCGGATGATGAGGAAGAAGAATAGCTGTCGGACGATGAATGACGGCTACGACGACGTTTGGTGCGAGAGCGGCTCTTCTTGCGGATCTTGAGAGAGTCCTTATCTTTGTCTTTGCGGTTGCGCCGAGGACGCTTACGGTCCCGGTGAGCTGAAGACGATGAAGACTCTGATAGCGATGAGGACGAAGAGGCGGCCATGGAGATCGACCGATGAGCTGAGCGCTTTTTTTCCCCTTGTGAAGAGAGAAACGACAAACTGGTGCAAGTTGTATCTGCTTGGCGACGTTTCTTTGGATTTTACGTTTCTCGAAAGGGTAATCTTGGTATTATGCTAGTATTCCATTCAATAAAAGTAAAACCCCTAAACTTCAAACTTAAGGCTTGTTTGACAAAGATTTTTAGCGTTTTTGTTTTTTTCTTAGAAAAATAAAAGTATTATTTGAGAGATCTCATAGTTTTTGGATTGACTTTCTAGATGTAGCTATTTTTAATTTATTTTTATATTTTCATCGCCTAAAAATAATTGTTTTAAAGTTTTTTTCTAGTATCATAAAAATAGAAAAAAATACTTAAAATAAGTTAATTCAAACGCCTTGAATTTGATATCATATTTAAGAAAATTAAGTATGATATGGAAATCCTAATTGGATAGACAAATGATCTTTATCTAATTTATTTTATAGGCTTTTTAAGGCATTATATAATAGAAGTTATCCTAACGATGAAAGGATATTCATAGGTTTTACTCGACACACATGTATTGATATGATTTGTGCAAAAAAATGAAATTAATTATGATAATGATGTTTAGCTATGATAAATGTAAATGGTGGCTATTAATAGTGATCGATAATAATGATAGTTGTGGTTAAGGATAATGAGTGGTGGAACATAGTTGATAATGATGAGCGACAATGGCAATAATTGATAAAGGTGGACGATGATCGTAACAACAAGTGAATATAATTGCAAAAGTACTATTTCCGTAGAAATCTCTAACTATACACTTAATGATATTCAAATTTTATTACAAATCTTAATCTCACTCCATTAAGTGATTTAAACATAAATAAAATAAACATATTTAATAATTAAGATAAAACTTAAAAAAACAAGCGAACTTAATAACTTAGATATAAACCATTAAAATCTCAATCAAAGGATAAAATATTTTAATTAAATTTCTATTGAATTTGTACTTATTTATAACTTCACCCTTAAAATCACATTTTAAAAAGACTGATTAGATACAAATAAAAGTGTTTCCTAATTTGACAAAATAGGAACTGCTATAATTTTAAAAGCTCTTTTTCTCTAAAGAAGCTTTGACGAATTTAAACTAATCAATTTTCAAAAATTTAATCAAACAAACTTCTAAATTAGATATAATAAAAATTAAATATAAACTGCAATGAGCGATTAAGATACATCAACTAATGACACACTATTGAACTTTTTGACTAAATGGTATATATTCCTTCATAGTTAAATAAATATTTTGATTCAAATCTTATCGAAAATCAAAATAATTTTTTACAAATGTAATTTTAGAATAATTGAGTTCAGGCAGAAGCCCTCTAAACCAACAACCACGCTGGCATACAAATTTTCATATTGTGAAATTATCAACTAAGACTTGGGAAAGAGAAAATCCAATTATCTTACTATTTTCACCTAATTTCAAATATTCAAGCATTTATCATAACAAATTCCTAAATATACTCAAAGGCATTAAAAAGAAAGGAATATAATTACAGGTCAGATTATGACAGAGAAAAATATCAAAATTATTTTTTTTTGGTTTTTTTCTTTTCTTTTTCCCATACACAGTTTTTATTTGTTCGAGCGGTTAGCAACAGTTGGGTTATATCTCCAAATAGTAGCAAAAATTGTTGATGGGAAAGGATTTGAATGAAAGCTGATAATGAAGGAATTCCAATCAAAGAAGCACATGATTATTCTCATCAAAAGCTTATAAACCAATTAGTCCCCAAACACCTAATTTCTTGTTAGGAGCTGCCGTCACTCCCACTACCCTGCAGCCAAATTTGTCCGCTCGGAGATTCCGCTGAGCTTGGTGCTTGTGCTGTCGCCTTATATTCATCTGTATCTGCTGCCGGAGATTCTGGTGGAGATGTTGACGGAGATTCTGCCGGGGACTGTGACTGAGATTCCGCTGGGGATTCTGACGGAGATTCCTCTGACGATTTTGACTCCGGGGCGTCTGCTACAGATTCTGTCGATGGAGCATCTGCGGAAGATTCGGTCGGGGATTCTGCGGGAGCTGCAACTCCATCCTCTGTTGGAGTAATGTTCACAAGGTTATCTTTTTTTTTTTTTTGTATTTAATTCAATTTTACTATTCTAAGAAATTTATCCGACTAGCAATAAAAAAAAAACAATAATTTCGCGTCAACCCAAGCAAGTTGGAGTGTGGTAGTTCTATTATTGATTGATGGTTTTACAAATTCAATATAGTTTCTGGTTTTGTGTACATGTATTTATGTATATATGTATGTTTGCATATAGCAGATAGATATGTACACGCATTTTTGTTTTATATAAAAAGATAATTTCTTTTTAAGAAGTTGTTTAGAAATGTTTTATGAAGCTTTTAGTAATTATTTCTAAAAACTGTCTAAAGGCGAGATTCATAAGAAGTTTTGTCTTTACCACTGGCGATGTCTTTGTATTCTTGGTCATCCACTGGGGAGTATACGATGGAAGAATCAGATTGTGGTGGCGATAAGAAAAATCCTGAGGTATAAGGGACACCAGTAGATGGTATCCACAAATCGGCATCTATGAAACTTGATGTTGTGAATCGTTGAACACGTTCGATAGGAAGTTCCTTAACACCTGACCATCTTACACGATCTGTTTTGGATGATCCTGACCCTTTATTGTTGAATTCAGTATAGAATAGTGTCTCAAAAGCGAATGTTTTGTTCCATTCTAACCATCCTTCTGGCTGAATCAGATCATCTATATTAGATTCCATTATGATAGTTCTTGAATACTGTTTCCATGGACGACCAAGATATGTCTTGACTTCCCCCTTGACCTCATTATAAGATTCATCAGCCACAATGCTGCAGTTTTGAAAGACCAGTCCCGTTGGCTGGCGGGCATCTGTCCTGCCTTGTGCTGTCACAATGCAGTGTTGTTCTTTCATAGGCTTTCGTACCGCGAGAGTGCAGTTCTGGAACACAGCAGCAGCATCCCCAAAAACAAAATCGATGGTGCCTCTGATCGTACAATCCCGATAAAATTGTCTATAGGTGTGGGCACAGAGAGTGTCTTGGTAACCGTCCACATGGCAATTGTAGAAGATTGATTTATCTGCTGCCACTCTCAAAGCTAAGGCCTGGTGTTTATCTGGACCAGCTGTGTTCTCGAAACCAATGTCCTTAGCAACGAAATAATCTCCCATTATAGCTACAATAGTCACAGTTACTCTTCTATTAAATCACAAACAAGAGAGCATGAAACAATTATATATGTAGTGTTATGAAATAAATTCCCTCTGTTTCATTTTTTAGAATAGACCATAAGAGAAAAATGTCATATAAAATGAAACAGAGGGAGTAACTCGTATTTAACTAATGTATAAGTAATTTGTTGTGTACCAAAACTTACCAACAGTTGAAGTTTGATAAGTTGGAATGCCATCTTTGAAGCTTTGGTTTCCGGTGATTCTGGTCTTGGTCGGACCATCCCCAATGATCACCAAATTCGACATGGTGCTAAGAATCTCCACTTTCTCATTATAAACACCCTCTTTGATGTACAGAACATAAGTCTGGTTTCTATGCTCTGGGATGTGTTTGAGAGCGTCATTTATAAACTTGTATTTGCCTGATCCATCCTTGGCAACAACCACATCGGGTTTGATTTCGTTAGACATGTTAACAGTAAGAAGTCTGCGCCTTCCCACATCAATCCAATCAGGTAACAACTCAATTCCATGACCCAAAACAGGGGTATCATCGAAAAGGAGACGACGACGATTGGAGCCAGCGTTGAGGCTTGTGAAGACATCAGAAATCTCGGTGATCATTGAAAGGGCATTGCTAGTTAGCTGCATAGAAACATTCAGTGCCTTTTTCATTTTCTCCCCCGCCTCTCCGGTAGTGTCCTCAAAGCCATCCAAGCAAGTTTCTTGATATGTAATTGCACCACTCAACCAAATCTTCAAATCAGCAATCCAATGACTCAGGTCATTGAACTCAAAACTTTCGAATTTGAGGTGTGTTCTATTGAGATCATTAATGGCTTGCAACGCTAGCATCTCACAGTTCTCCAGGGCCATTTTTGCTCTTGGATCCTTCTCAAGCTTTTGCATGAATGTTGAATTGTCAATTGCTTCCTTAATTTTCTTAATTGTCACCTGAAATGACATTTGGATAAGGTCTTTGGGATCTGAGGAGCATTCACCCGTTGCCTCAAGGCTCTCAACACATGTAGTTTGATACTGTGTAGTCTGGCATATGGATTCAATAGCTTTTTTCGTACTCGTTACATCTTTAGCCTCAGCCTCTTTATCATTCCAATTCATCGTTACGACTACTGCAACTACCATAGCCACCAAGATTAATGAACATACACCAATAATGGTGAAATTCCTCTTACGATTATTTCCCGCCATGCTTGATCTCTACTCTTAAATGTATTAGATATTGTAAAACAAATAATTATAAATATTACTGCTTCACGTTCAATTCACCAAATTGTAACGGAGAAGGGCCTGGAGGATTGCTCTTGACCCTCTCCTCAAAATGGCTGAAAAAAGAACGAATGAGATTAAAGTCAAGTTATAGCTTTTCCCCAAACATTGTTCTGTTCTGGATAAGAAGCTTAGAGGGAAACAAGCATATTGACAGAGGATAAAATTGAAAGTTGTTCATTTGTGTCTTATTATAGGTTCCAAAAAGCTAGGAGATTTTTAACACCATCCATCAACTCCTATTTTTTTGAATGATCAATATTTAAACCTAAACTTACGGGGATAAAACAGTGATGTTTAATCATGGTCCGTTGGCAACTTTTTATCCATTCTTTCTACACGCCTTAAACACACGAGTTATACTTAACCATAACTATAAATATCATATGAACACGTTTATTTACGCGTTTACAGGCTAAATAACCAAGAAATGAATGCATCACATAGTAAAAGAAAATGAAATAGGGGTGAAAAAACAAATACATAATGAATTAGATAGAGTGATGCACTTGGAATTAGCTGAAGAACACAACCAAATAAAGAATTAAAAAAATTCTTGCTTATTATAAATATAAACTACCAGTGTAAGGGACTCCAGTCCAAGGCAGCCAATAATTCCCGAATATGAAATTGGAGACAGTGAAAGAAGATGCATCCATATAACTAATTTCACCGCGATAACCATGCCATCGGACCCTTTTACTGGTGTCCGATCCTGGACCATCGTTCTTAAATTCAGCATAATACAACGTACTCAGCGCGAAATCGTCGGTCCAAATCGACCAACCATCAGGATGAATAAAACTATCCAAAAATGATCGCATATAAACAGTCCTCGAATACTCTTTCCACGGCCTTCCTAAATATGTCCGTACTGGTTTAGTGCCATTGTAGGAGGCCAACTCAATAGACGGAGTAATGGTACATTTGTGAATGGATATGCCTGTGTTCTGGTTAATATCTGTTCTGCCCTGTGCTGTAATTGCATTAAACTGACCGGGCAGTGGAAGACGCGGATATATGTTACAATTTTGGAAAACAACAGCTGAATTTCCAAAAATGAAATCTATAGTCCCGTAGATATTACAGTCCTTGTAGAATTGCCTCAGAGAATGTGTGTAAAGTGTATCTTGGTAGCCTTCAAAGCTGCAGTAGTAGAATGCGGATAGATCAGCGCTATTCCGAACGGCTACAGCTTGGAACTTTGCTGCTCCTGCTGTGTTCTTAAACGTAATGTTCATTGCTACAAATCCTTGCCCATCTACAGCTGCATCAGTCATTATATACATTTAGATCCATGAAAAAAAATAAATTAAATGAAGTTATGTGCCTTAACAGTGTTAAACGAATAACTACTCGTAATGAAATACGCTACTATAACAGATTAATTATACTAGTGTAAAAATTATTTACAATGTCATGTGTAGTACTCTCTCTATCCCTGATACTTTTCGTTTTTCGAGAGTTAAACAATTTAAGTTTGACAGGGAATTTGCGCATGAAATCATCAATTTTTTTGAAATGAAATTTATATATTTGTAAACTACGTAAAAAGTACTATAAGTCACAACAATTGATAATTCAAAATGTTTAAAAAATCTATGAAAACTTTACGGTCAAAGTTAGACTTGTTTGAATCTCGAAATCCAAAAAATGCCACATAAAATGGGACGGAGGGAATACAATTTAAAAAGAAAGTTGGTATGTTCTTTCCCGATAATTGTAGTGCTTATTAAGTAGGCTTTATTAGTTATTATCGTCTGTCTTCCCCCAACCAACCTCAAATCCTCAACCATTATAATTTTCACTGGTAATGATAATACTACTATATATACTAGTATACAACTGGCTTTATAGTAAAGATTCATGTACTCCCTCCTTTGCATGTTACTTGGTTCCTGTACCAAAAATAAATGTTTTATTATACTCGTCTATTTTAACAAATTATGAGAATTTTATTTCTTTTTTGCTATACTACACTTAGTATTAAATAACTATATAAAATAGTAATAGTCAAATTTAGAGGTCGAAAGCATTATTAATAATGTTAATTTAGTACTCCCTCTGTTCCTTTTTACTTGTCCATTTTTGACTTTTTATTTGTCCCTTAGTATTTGTCCATTTTTTGACAAATCAAGAAAAAACAATATGTTTTACATATTATACCCTCAATTTATTTAGAGAATTAATGTTTTTGAAAGAGGTAGAATCTCTTTAATGAGTAAATTGATTTTGGTATTTTATTATGTTAATTATTATTTTCTTAATAGATGTGTCAATTCAAAAATGGAGAGAGGGATAAACTTTCTTAAGGAATTGTGTCAGGTGTAATAGAGGGAGTAAGATTTAGATGACTAGGATATCATATAGTTATTTAAGAAGCTTAAATAAGAGTATATGACTTCTAGTCTAGGAAATATATAATCCTTAAACAAAGGACATGGGAACTGCATGGGTACTAAATATGCACAGAAATTATCATGGGCGATTTTTTCTCTTCCTGTAAAATCTTTAATAAATTATACTCTAGTACTAGTACCAAGATCTGGTATATATATTCCAAAGTACTTACCAAATGTGGCAGAATTAAAAGTTGTCCATCCATCAGGTACATTTCGATTCCCAGTGATTATAGTTTTGTCTATGCCATCTCCAACCATCATCAAATACTTCTTGTTTGCAGCAATGGAAACATACTCATTGTAGACACCAGCAACCACATATATCTGATAATAGCCTTCATCTTCTATGCTATCAATTGGGGCAGCTGCGATCGCGTCGTTCATACTAGTATAGTTCCCACTTCCATCTGGATTCACCACCACCTTTTGTCTAATTTTCAGCATACTCACACTTATAAAATCACCTACACCAGAACCAGGATTCCACCCTTTCTTAAAAAGTGCAAGTGACACACTGCATATCATACTACCTGTTGAAACAGACATAATATAATTAAGTAAATTTAAATCGTTCTAGCTCTCTCTAAACAAAACAAGCTCTAAGCTTTTAAATAAAAATGATTACAAACTTCAACACGAGGTACCTTTAGAAATTAAAGGTGTAATCAGGTTAGCAACCGGTAAAACAGAAGGCGCATCTAGAAGACCTTCCAAACATGTTTGTTTATTAGTAATAGTTGCACTAAGCCATGTTTCACCATCATAAGCTTCTGAATTCTCAAGTGAGTTATTCGTTTTCTTAGCAACATCAGCAGCATTTAGTAATAAATCAACGTTTAGGCGAAGGAGATACTGGCAATCATGGAGAGCAGAAACTGTGCTTTTAGGCAGTAATAGATAATTTAGATTGAGGAAATCAATAATTGAGTTAATAATCTGATTAGTTGTTGAAAGGGAAAGCTGAATGGAGAGCCTTCCTGAGTCATAAATGTCTATAGAATTGTTTGGAGGGAGTAAAGTTTTGCACAAATTAGGAAAAGGGGTGATGCTGCAAATTCCATCAGAAGAGAGAGCAAATGCATGAGAGGCAGTGAAAAAGGACTGAATTATGAAGAATACTAGAATAGAATGTGTGAATGCCATGGCAAACAAATGGTTAGCTAGGCTTATAAATATGAAGACATGCATGCATTTATATAGCAATTAAGTTTCATAAGCAATTGCCATTTTTTTAATAATATATAGTTGGATGTGATTGATCATGGTGCAACTTGGATACCATGGTGTTGAAAAGTGGGCTATATTTTATATTGGTAATATCTGATTCTCGGGGGTTGCAATACTTTTCTTATCATGCAAAATTTACACATCGATTTGCAAGCAAAGTCAAGCTGTACCTAGTGAACTTTTAAAACTTTCAAGCCTGAGTATTTAAATTCCATCTTGAATTAGGAAGGATTTGTTGGGTTAAAATAATCCAAATTAATATACTTTTTAATATGCGAGGATATTGTTCATTTTGAATCAAATCTATACGTTGATCCCCCCCCCCCCCAAAGCTTTACACCAGTAAGATAATGATCCAACAAACTCCCCCCACCCCCAAAAAAAAAAAATTAAGGAAAAAGATTTTCTCCTTTTTAACGAATTAAGTACCCATATTTGTTCATATTCTTGTGGGTAAAAAATAGATTGAAGTCCACATTTTACCCAATTGAAATATAAATGATCTAATTAATTTAAAGATTAATCGTGTGCCACTGATATTAACCGAGTAACTATGGTCACCAAATCCCACTAGGATATTTTTTGTGCATGCATCTTTGAAACAAAGATATAAAGGTAGTAAAAGACACTAAACAAGATTCTACACAATCACACTATCATCTCCATACTCATCTCGCTAAATCATTGATTTTGATGTCAATTATTGGGCTAAAATAATACAAAGACAAACTTGCACAGTTTTTCCTATAAAGCCACCTTACATGAGTAACATAAGTAGCTAACTTTATTTTTCAGCTAGCTATTAATTTGAAGCTTTGTCATACACTTGCTAGAGGTTCTCCATCACGATTAAAAGGGAAAAGATTAAATAAAGGTGCATTCCACACAAAAGGCAGGAGAACAATTCTGAATAAAAAGAGTTTTGTTTTATGGTTCTTTCATATACTTTTTTCTTAATTGAATGAACGTTCTGATAATCAATTTATTAAAATACTTCAATTGGTACACGCAAGAATTAAATAGGCTAATTCAGCAGCCTTTTATTTAATTATACAAAAATAAAATTGCCCTTGTTTTACTGACCATTGATGATTGATCATGGATGAGATAATTTTGTACTAGTAAATGACTAATGTCAAGAATTGTTGCTTCAATTGTCCTTTTGAGTACAAGGTCAGGGACAAATCGGCACAACTTATAAAGACAAATTTATCTTGCCTTTATCTTGAAGTATCAATAGAGGGTAAGAACATCACTATTGACTACGTTGCATTAAGCAATTAAAAAGCCTAAAAAAATAATTGTGCAATATATATATTTCACGTGGCAAATTATGCACATGGTAAGACAAAATTAAAATAGTAATCACATGATTTTAGGAGATTTCGAACTGTAAGTCAACTTTTTTGCTTTCACCAATTAGGAGTATTCTAATACAAAGAAGGTTTAATCATTTTAGACCTGAAGAAGAGATTATGAATTTAAGTTATATAGACCGTTAATATTATATATTGATAGATGTACATAACCAATTTAAGACGTGCCAAGCTGTTGAGATCTCAAACATTCAATCCAGCGCATTATGTTCCTCATCTATGCAATTTGACAACGTAACACGGCTAAACATAAGTCAACTTAAAACAAATCTTCTATATCTTGTCGATCAACACATACATATGATAAATTCAAGCACACTTATAAAATATTTAATCATAGACATGAGCTGTATGATATATTAATAAAAAGTAATGGCATGTTACGTTTCTAAAAATCAAAGTATACACATTTTGCAGTTTCCTAAGCATTCAATGTAGTTTTTACACCTTACAGCGCCTTTGAAATTATTTTTCAGTTTAACTGCATAAAATATCATGTGTAGTAGGGTATAACTATTGCTCTTCAATACAATGCCATTTTTGAATTATATACACAATATAATGAAACAATTAAACTATTACTATACGTTACTGCCGCCTAATTAGTAAGACCAGCTGAGAACTGGACGCCGGTGGCCGGCAACCACGACATGCCGTCGATGAAATGTTGAACGGTGAAGAAATTAGCCGATGAAGGATCTTTGATAATATGGTAACCGGGCCACGTAACCCGACCCGTAAGTGATGATCCAGGCCCATAATTCTTATACTCACCATACCACAAACTATTCAAGGCAAAGTTGCCATACCACTCCAACCATCCTCTGGGCTGGACCATTCCACTCATGTAGGTATTCATGTAAACAGTCCTTGAATACATTTTCCAGGGCCGGCCCAAATAAGTGGGCCTAGTGGCGTAAATGTAGCTATCTTGGATCGAAAATCCAGTGCTTTGATCTGGGCTTTTTCGACCTTGGGCCGTGATTGTTACCTTCTGTAATGGAAGTGGAGGTCTAGTATAAATCTTGCAGTTTTGAAGAACTGCAGCACCATTGCCAAAAATGAAATCTATGGTGCCATAAATGTTGCATTCTCGATAGAATTGACGGAGTGAATGGGCGTAAAGCGTGTCTTGATATCCTTCCATGCTGCACCTGAAAAAGGCCGATTGGTCCGAATCCACACGAAGGGCCACACCTTGGAAGTTTTTAGGCCCAGCAGTGTTGCGAAATGTTATGTCTCTTGCAATAAATCCCTTGCCCGAAACAGCTGTTAAAAAGAGAAAGGGAACTAGTTGTCAGGTAGGTGTCTATTTGTTCAACTTTATACAACTTGTGCATATCTAAAGTTGAAGTGAATAAATGTCAGCTGAGGTCAACTTAAAAAGATGCATGCATTTATGTATTATGTCTAAACAGAAAAGTAGAAAAAAGGTTGATGAGAAAACTACGTACCAACAGTTGCAGTTCTAAAAGTAGTCCATCCTTGCATGAAATTTCTGCTACCAGTAATGACAGTGGCTCCAATGCCATCTCCCAGAAGCATGATATTGGTTTTTTTCTTCTTCAAATCAATATTTTCATGGTAAGTTCCCCTCTTCACATAGATCACATATCTCCTGTTACTATAGCTTGGAGCCTCATTTATAGCCTGTGCAATTGACCGATAACGACCGCTTCCATCTAAGGATACAACAGCATCTACATGCATTCCATTTGGATTAGAAACTAGCAAATCTTTGTCACCATTTGTCATCCACTCTGGATACTTTTGATTTTCATATGTTATGTTCTCATTTCTTGGTGGTTTAAATGGTAAGCTATGCAATTGAACATACAAAGTTAGAACATTGCTAATGAGTTGTGTTACTTGTGTTAAACTTCCCTTGATGAAATGTTCGAGGTGTCGGTCTGTGCCTTCGAATCCTTCTAAGCATGTGTCTTGATTGCTCAATGCAGCACTCAGCCACGCCTTGAGATTTCCCTCATAATGAACATTCTTTGAACCAGCTCGGATTTTTCTCATTTCACCTAAGGACCATGCTAGTTCAGTGACTGAGAAATCGAGAAGTTCTTGGCAATCCTCGATGGCCATTTGATCCCTGGATGAAGTTGATAATGTGCTGAATTTTGTGATGGATTGAATGGTTAGCTTTGCTTGATTGAGGGAGTTTTGAATGGCTGCTTTGAGGATTGAATTGGGATCCCTGTGGACAGGATCATCAAGATTGGATTGTATGTGTGAGAGGCATAAAGCTTGGTTCTGGATGTTGTTGCAAGCTTGAATGATCATAGCATGGGGATCAAGAGTAGGGGATCTTTGATATGGATGGAAAGTTTCATATTCATATTGAGAGAGAACTTGGTAGAAAGGTAAGAGAATGAGAATAAAGAGAAATTTGGTGATCCCCATATTATTTTTTTTGGATGAAGATTGGAAAAAGGGAATGGTTTCAATGGCCAATTTAAAAGAAAGATTGATAGGAAGGGAATACAAATTGAGAATTGTTTGTCATGAAAGAAAAGGAAGAGAAAATTCTAAACATGGAAATATATGCTTTTCTCTCTTTCCAACTTTCAAGTTATCCTGCATGCCTTGTATGACATGGTTACAAAATTCCCTTTTTTTACAATGTATTGTCAATTTTCTCATGGTGGCTAACTTAAATAGGCTATTTCTGGATACCTAAAGTGAGATTCTCCAGTGTGTGGGCTCCATTCTATATACTTTTTGGTTTGTAAAAATGTTGGTCTACTCCTTCCTTTTCTACTTGTTAGTTTTCTGGTTCACATTTAACATGGCCACAATAACCAGACAACATACCTAGTGTAATTCCACAAGTGGGGTATGGAGGGTAATATACATGCAGACCATACCCCTATTTTGGGTGGTAGAAAGACTGTTTCCGAAAGACCCTCAGCTCAAGAAGCAGGCGCAAAATGGCAAAGGGATTAATAAGAAGATATTCTCTGCCATTAACTTTAAGAGATCCTCTTATATGATGTTTCATCATTCATATAGTTGATCTCCAGACTGCAAAGGTACATAAGAAGTTTATACAAGGAGTCCACACAAGTGAAGAGTGGCGCAAAATCCCTTCGGTGGACTTACAAAACAACATGATGGAAAATTTCTGCTTACTGATGTAATGGGAGAAGTTTTAGGTTCAACTGCTCAAATGTATTGGTAGTACCCCATTCATGTAAGTGGGGGGGGGGGGGGGGGTATGGTAACACACATTGGCATGTACCGTTGGGATATTGTACCTTAATCCCACCTAATCCTGCAACCTCTTGCCTTCAATGTCTTAACTATGTCCGGCGTAAGTTGTAGTCTCAGGGAGGCAATCAACTTAACTTTTTTCAGCCGAACACAGGAAGCCCGAAGAGCAACCTCAAAGCCATTGGTTGACACGTTGTAAAGGTTTACGAGCTTGGCATCCTGCAACCGTGTCAAGTTCCCCATCACCATGCACAGGCCCACATCCGAGATTGCACAATGACTCAGATTAATCTGCCATCAAAGATTTATTTCAGCAGTTGTAGACAAATTCATAAGCCTCTATTCCCATTTAGGTATTCAAGGACACAAGAATGGTATGAATCGCACAAAATGTGCTTTATTTAGGAATACATGAGGACTAACGACAAAAATCTAGAAGAAAATCTGCTGCTTATACTACTGCATACATAACATAACCAAGCCCCAATGCATAGCAAGCATCAAGGGTGCCAACAACAGCTACATGCATCTACTCACAAATGAATTTAACCATACTTGCACAAACTCAGTCAATTCCGGCTAGTAGAACTTAGTGAAATTGACATGAAAATGTCTGTATTTTTTTTGTAATACGGCAAAATGTTTGTATTACACTTATTATGACCTTCATTTTGAACTCAGTCAACTTGGCCAACTTAAACAAGTATATAACCCAGTTAAACTCATAAGAGATTGTTCATTAAACCATAAAAACATTGAGCAATAGCAAGGCAATCAATAGATCTGATGAATGCTCATTTCAGAGATCTACTAAACAAATGCACTGTCAAGTACATCTGATTCTTGAACAGACAACAATTATAAAATTCAACCAAGCATGTTACAACTTTCAAGTCGAGTATGGAATCAAAATTTTAAAAATAAATAATTGTGCTACATGCCACAGCTTTGTGCAAGAAACAGTGACATGATTCTAACTGATGATCTGATTGAAAAGTGTAGTAACCATCATACAGATGCCTGTGAGAAAGGTGTTAAAACAGACGTCATGGTTGAACCTTGTCCTTTTATTTACAACAACAATAACTATGCCTCAATCCCAAACAAGTTGGGGTTGGTTATATGAATCCTCACTGATCATGTTTCTCCATTTAAACTCAACTCATGTCATCGTCATACCAAATAATATTTTTTTGAAAATGAGTTAAATATATAAATTATAGTAACACTAATATTGAAAGTTCTCTATATTTTGACTGACATATAAATTTATGGTAAGGTCAAAATACTCCCAGAAAAGCACTAGGTTCAAAGTCAACCTACTAACAAGCCTAAAAGGGTAAACCTGTTCCCAACTAGTAAATATCACCTATTATGGATGTTTTTCTTCCATTTTGCTCTATCTATAGCTAAGTCTGCATAGGTTCCAAAAAAACTGTAGGTCTTTTGAGACAACTTCATTCCATGTGATTCCTTTTGTCCTTTAATTGATATTGGAAAAATATAGTTAATCCTCAGATGGTCTCAATTTGACACCTCATGAGTATGCAGAAAAAAAAATAAACTCAAAAGTTCAAGTACGATCATTACATGTTCATACATCACTGACACACTGTTGCTGGTAAGAATATTAAGTGACATGACATATCTGAAGCTAATAAACCTTAAAGGGGAAATGGAGTAAGTGTATATGTCGATTATTTGAGTTGGTAAACTCATTATCAAGTTTGATCAGTCAAAACATTGTCGATAATTTTGCAAAAACTGTGATTGATATCCAAAAAGTAAGGGTATTCTGAACTTTTTAAGCATTACAACCAAGAATTGACAAGCTGATTAGGGTTAATGCAACATTCAGAGTCCTTTCAGTGTGGTGCATATAGTAAAATGATAATTCTCAATCCTGATGAATGGCCTACTAAGTCCAAAGGCAACAAAGTGGATATAGTTGCGAGAAACATAATTCTAACATATCTTATCATGGGTCCAGAAAATTATACAAAAAGAGTTATCTAGCAAATCTACTAGTGAAACTTGAACCATTATGCACCGCCAAGATTACTACACTATTTTGAACTTCGAACAAAAAGAAAACCAGGACTGCTTGATCCCAACAAACAGTCTTTTTATAAAAACTGATTCAGTTTTATGAAAGACTTGAGGCCAAAATCTGTTGAAGTATTTAAAACCTAATTTATCACGGAAGGTTTTGTTAGACTCTCAAAAGGGAGCTGATAACATAAAAGGAGCACGGACTCTTGTAGCAACTAAATCAGAGTTGCGGATTTGGCTCCCCTCCATTTCGTCAAGTGCACATCTAGATGAGAGACATGTGTCTTATTTAAATTTTTAAGGTCAAGATTATACTACATTAACAAATATTATAACCATAGTTTTGTCAACCAATTTTGAAAAACTACCCCCTAAATGTGGTAAGAACAAGATATTTTCTATAAATTTTGATATTCATTGATTTCATTTTATATTTTTTACTTAAACATTAAATTGTACGATATTTAAAGTGAGAATCAATTAAACAATTTTTTGTGATGATAAACTATGTTCTTGAAATATTTTATATGTTAGAAAAACGAAATAAAAGATGTGAATAATTATCAATGTAGACAAAAACCTTAAAATAAAAAAAAAGGGGAAATAAAAAATTAAAAAAAGACGAGAAATTATTAGAACTACAAATGTGAAATATCAAAATTACCACACTTTAGTAAGAGGAGAAAGTGTGGCTACGTACTGTGTTTGAAGGGGGAAAAAAGAAGTGTGTTTTAAAATTTGTTTGTTGGGAATAAAAGAAAATTCTAATATTTTAAATAAAAAATATAAAATGAAATCAATGAATATCAAATTTATAGAAAGTATCTTGTTCTTACCAATTTAGGAAGTAGTTTTCTAAAATTAGTTGACTTAACTATGGTTATAATATTTGTTAATATAGTATAATCTTGACCTTAAAAATTTAAATAAGACACATTTGTCTCATCTAGATGTGCACTTGATGAAATGGAGGGGATCCAAATCCCAGAGTTGCTGTTAATTTCTACAAAAAATATATTCCTGGCACTTATATAAATGTGATTGTGGACCAAGAGAAGAGAGTTATGTTGTATCGAACAAAATTTTGAAAAAAGATTACAACTCAATTACTGTTCTCAGGATTTCGAGAAATGATAAAAACTGATCAAGGTGTATAGTTATTTAACCATTACGAATCAACTGGTAATGCAGAAAGCACATGCCAAACAGATTTAACAGCATCATACATTACAAGAAGTAGAGAGAGTAGTTCAAGATTGAGAAATTATACCTGTTGCAAATTCCTAGAGTAATAAGCAAGCGCCATGAAACCTGAATCATCAATGCTAGTACAGTCTTTCACATCCAATTCAGAAAGTCTCTTGCATCCCGTAGCAAGTGCTGTTAAACCAGTGCCTGTGACATTCAAAAGACTCCGCATCTCGAGGTCAGAGAGCTCTGGTAGATGGCCGAGACACTCAATTCCTCTATCAGTAACCTCACTGCAATAAGACAAGTTTAACTTCTGCATTCTTTTGCAACCACTTGATAAAGCATAGAGTCCATCATCACCAATTCCTTGGCACCTGCAAATGGTTTTCAAGATACGATATAAGAAGACATTTTCAAATTCATACGATAAGTTAGATGGGGCAATCACTTTACCGGTATAGATCAAGTTCACGAATCTCGCTGCAATTTCTAGCCACACAGTACAGTCCCTTGTCAGTAATGTTTGTACATAATCCCAACTTTAGGCATATAAGCTTTGTACATTTAGACAAGTAATAAAGTCCTGCAGAAGAGATGAGATGCAACACATATTAGTGCAGACCTACAGCATAGCTGAATTCCTTGCTTGAAATGCTTAATTTAAAGGTATGTCACCAACTGCACAAGTTTTGGAGTAACCATATCATCGAACACTTAACACGAGGAGCTTTGAGACATGAATGCACAAAGCTTCACATGTCATTAAAAGAAGAAAAAGAAAAAGGAAGAAGAAGAAAATTAGATGTCTTGCTCTTGAGGAATGGGAAGCCAACTCAAAAGCCCAAAACTTGAAGAATATAAAAATGGAAATAGAATCCAGATGAGACGAGGGAAAATCAGATGTCTTGCTCTCGGTCCTTCAGAATAAATGGAAATTTACCTTTATCTGAA